TTGGCACTACTGTCAGACAGTGTCCCATGGCACTACTGTCAGACAGTGTCCAATGGCACTACTGTCAGACCGTGTCCCGTGGCACTACTGTCAGACAGCGTCCCATGGCACTACTGTCAGACAGTGTCCCATAACACTACTGTCGGACTGTGTCCCATGGCACTACCGTCAGACAGTGTCCATGACACTATTGTCTGACAGTGTCCCATGGCACTACTGTCAGACTGTATCCCATGGCACTACCGTCAGACAGTGTCCATGACACTATTGTCAGACAGTGTCTCATGGCACTACTGTCAGACAGTGTCCCGTGGCACTACTGTCAGACAGTGTCCCATGGCACTTCTGTCAGACAGTGTCCCATGGCACTACTGTCAGACCGTGTCCCTTGGCACTACTGTCAGACAGCGTCCCATGGCACTACTGTCAGACTGTGTCCCATAGCACTACTGTCGGACTGTGTCCCATGGCACTACTGTCAGACAGTGTCCCATGGCACTACTGTCAGACAGTGTCCTATGGCGCTACTGTCAGTGTCCCATGGCACTACTGTCAGACAGTGTCTCATGGCACTACTGTCAGACAGTGTCCTATGGCGCTACTATCAGTGTCCCATGGCACTACTGTCAGACAGCGTCCCATGGCACTACTGTCAGACTGTGTCCTATAGCACTACTGTCGGACTGTGTCCCATGGAACTACTGTCAGACAGTGTACCATGGCACTACTGTCATACAGTGTCCCATGGCACTACTGTCAGACAGTGTCCTATGGCGCTACTGCCAGTGTCCCATGGTACTGTTGTCAGACAGTGTCTCATGGCACTACTGTCAGACAGTGTCCCATGGGACTACTGTCAGACAGTGTTCCATGGCACTACTGTCAGACTGTGTCCCATGGCACTACTCTCAGACTGTGTTCCATGGCACTACTGTCAGACAGTGTCCAATGGCACTACTGTCAGACAGTGTCCATGGCACTAATGTCAGACACTGTCCCATGGCACTTCTGTCAGACTGTATCCCATGGCACTACTGTCAGTGTCCCATGGCACTACTGTCAGACAGTGTCCCGGAGCACTACTCAGTCTCCCAAGGTTCTGTTGACAGCTTCTTCTCAAGAAGTTCTTTTGTGACTGTCAGCAGAGATAGCCTTATAGAGAGGCTTATAATCAGAGGCCTGAAATCAGGAAGAGTGTAATGTTGAGTCAGTGTAGTGGCTGACAGCTGCGCCACTCAGTGCCCTGATGCTGCGTCAGTGTAGTGACTGACAGCTGCGGCACTCAGTGCCCTGATGCTGCGTCAGTGACTGACAGCTGCGGCACTCAGTGCTCGGAAGAATTAGTGTACTGGCTGACAGTTGCGACACTCAGTGCCCGGATGTTGAGTCAGTGTAGTGGCTGACAGCTGCGGCACTCAATGCCCGGATGCTGAGTCAGTGTAGTGGCTGACAGCTGCGGCATTCAGTAGCCACGATGCTACTGCAGTGTAGTGGCTGACAGCTGCAGCACTCAGTAGCCTGGATGCTGAATCAGTATAGTGGCTGACAGCTGCGGCACTCAGTAGCCTGGATGTTGAGTCGGTGTAGTGGCTGACAGCTGCGGCACTCAGTTTCCTGGATGCTGAGTCGGTGTAGTGGCTGACAGCTGCGGCACTCAGTTTCCTGGATGCTGAGTCGGTGTAGTGGCTGACAGCTGCGGCACTCAGTAGCCTGGATGCTACAGCAGTGTATGGATGACAGCTGCGGCACTCAGTAGCCTGGATGCTACAGCAGTGTATGGATGACAGCTGCGGCACTCAGTAGCGCCCTGGATGCTACAGCAGTGTATGGATGACAGCTGCAGCACTCAGTAGCCTGGATGCATACAGCAGTGTATGATGACCAGCTGCAGCACTCAGAGCCTGGATGCAACAGCAGTGTATGGATGACAGCTGCAGCACTCAGTAGCCTGGATGCTACAGCAGTGTATGGATGACAGCTGCAGCACTCAGTAGCCTGGATGCAACAGCATGTATGGATGACAGCTGCAGCACTCAGTAGCCTGGATGCTACAGCAGTGTATGGATGACAGCTGCAGCACTCAGTAGCCTGGATGCTACAGCAGTGTATGGATGACAGCTGCAGCACTCAGTAGCCTGGATGCTACAGCAGTGTAATGGATGACAGCTGCTGCACTCAGTAGCCTGGATGCAACAGCAGTGTATGGATGACAGCTGCTGCACTCAGTAGCCTGGATGCAACAGCAGTGTATGGATGACAGCTGCAGCACTCAGTAGCCTGGATGCAACAGCAGTGTATGGATGACAGCTGCAGCACTCAGTAGCCTGGATGCACAGCAGTGTATGGATGACAGCTGCGGCACTCAGTAGCCTGGATGCAACAGCAGTGTATGGATGACAGCTGCGGCACTCAGTAGCCTGGATGCTACAGCAGTGTATGGATGACAGCTGCGGCACTCAGTAGCCTGGATGCAACAGCAGTGTATGATGACAGCTGCAGCACTCAGTAGCCGGATGCTACAGCAGTGTATGGATGACAGCTGCGGCACTCAGTAGCCTGGATGCTACAGCAGTGTATGGATGACAGCTGCAGCACTCAGTAGCCTGGATGCTACAGCAGTGTATGGATGACAGCTGCAGCACTCAGTAGCCTGGATGCTACAGCAGTGTATGGATGACAGCTGCGGCACTCAGTAAGCCTGGATGCTACAGCAGTGTATGGATGACAGCTGCAGCACTCAGTAGCCTGGATGATACAGCAGTGTATGGATGACAGCTGCAGCACTCAGTAGCCTGGATGCTACAGCAGTGTATGGATGACAGCTGCGGCACTCAGTAGCCTGGATGCAACAGCAGTGTATGGATGACAGCTGCAGCACTCAGTAGCCTGGATGCTACAGCAGTGTATGGATGACAGCTGCAGCACTCAGTAGCCTGGATGCTACAGCAGTGTATGGATGACAGCTGCAGCACTCAGTAGCCTGGATGCAACAGCAGTGTATGGATGACAGCTGCAGCAACTCAGTAGCCTGGATGCTACAGCAGTGTATGGATGACAGCTGCGGCACTCAGTAGCCTGGATGCTACAGCAGTGTATGGATGACAGCTGCGGCATTCAGTAGCCTGGATGCTACAGCAGTGTATGGATGACAGCTGCAGCACTCAGTAGCCTGGATGCTACAGCAGTGTATGGATGACAGCTGCGGCACTCAGTAGCCTGGATGCTACAGCAGTGTATGGATGACAGCTGCAGCACTCAGTAGCCTGGATGCTACAGCAGTGGTATGGATGACAGCTGCGGCACTCAGTAGCCTGGATGCTACAGCAGTGTATGGATGACAGCTGCGGCACATCAGTAGCCTGGATGCAACAGCAGTGTATGGATGACAGCTGCACACTCAGTAGCCTGGATGCAACAGCAGTGTATGGATGACAGCTGCGGCACTCAGTAGCCTGGATGCTACAGCAGTGTATGGATGACAGCTGCAGCACTCAGTAGCCTGGATGCTACAGCAGTGTATGGATGACAGCTGCAGCACTCAGTAGCCTGGATGCTACAGCAGTGTATGGATGACAGCTGCAGCACTCAGTAGCCTGGATGCTACAGCAGTGTATGGATGACAGCTGCGGCACTCAGTAGCCTGGATGCTACAGCAGTGTATGGATGACAGCTGCAGCACTCAGTAGCCTGGATGCTACAGCAGTGTATGGATGACAGCTGCGGCACTCAGTAGCCTGGATGCAACAGCAGTGTATGGATGACAGCTGCAGCACTCAGTAGCCTGGATGCAACAGCAGTGTATGGATGACAGCTGCAGCACTCAGTAGCCTGGATGCAACAGCAGTGTATGGATGACAGCTGCAGCACTCAGTAGCCTGGATGCTACAGCAGTGTATGGATGACAGCTGCAGCACTCAGTAGCCTGGATGCTACAGCATGTGTATGGATGACAGCTGCAGCACTCAGTAGCCTGGATGCTACAGCAGTGTATGGATGACAGCTGCGGCACTCAGTAGCCTGGATGCAACAGCAGTGTATGGATGACAGCTGCAGCACTCAGTAGCCTGGATGCTACAGCAGTGTATGGATGACAGCTGCGGCACTCAGTAGCCTGGATGATACAGCAGTGTATGGATGACAGCTGCAGCACTCAGTAGCCTGGATGATACAGCAGTGTATGGATGACAGCTGCAGCACTCAGTAGCCTGGATGATACAGCAGTGTATGGATGACAGCTGCGGCACTCAGTAGCCTGGATGCAACAGCAGTGTATGGATGACAGCTGCGGCACTCAGTAGCCTGGATGCAACAGCAGTGTATGGATGACAGCTGCAGCACTCAGTAGCCTGGATGCAACAGCAGTGTATGGATGACAGCTGCAGCACTCAGTAGCCTGGATGCAACAGCAGTGTATGGATGACAGCTGCAGCACTCAGTAGCCTGGATGCAACAGCAGTGTATGGATGACAGCTGCAGCACTCAGTAGCCTGGATGCTACAGCAGTGTATGGATGACAGCTGCAGCACTCAGTAGCCTGGATGCAACAGCAGTGTATGGATGACAGCTGCAGCACTCAGTAGCCTGGATGCTACAGCAGTGTATGGATGACAGCTGCAGCACTCAGTAGCCTGGAGCAACAGCAGTGTATGGATGACAGCTGCAGCACTCAGTAGCCTGGATGCTACAGCAGTGTATGGATGACAGCTGCAGCACTCAGTAGCCTGGATGCTACAGCAGTGTATGGATGACAGCTGCGGCACTCAGTAGCCTGGATGCTACAGCAGTGTATGGATGACAGCTGCGGCACTCAGTAGCCTGGATGCAACAGCAGTGTATGGATGACAGCTGCAGGTTTCTCAAAATACTTTGATGTCTGGAAAACTGAGATGTTGGTTTATGGGCCATTTAGTATGTGTGTGGCCATGTATGCGTGGCCATGTATGTGTGCCCATGTATGTAGCCACGTGGTGTGTGTGTGTGTGTGTGTGTGTGTATCTCACCTGTGGTCTGAGGTGTAGGTAGTCTTGCCAGCTGTCAGCAGGTGTATGTCTCTTGCTCTCACCCACGAGACCTGTCAAGAGACCAGAGCATTACGTGGCAGTGCATACACGTATACATACATACACGTGTGCACACACATGTGCATAAACAAACACGTGCACACCCGCAAAATGATAGTGAAAATATACCTGGAGGTTACCTGGAGGTTATTCCGGGGATCAACGCCCCCGCGGCCCGGTCCATGACCAGGCCTCCCGATGGATCAGGGCCTGATCAACTAGGCTGTTACTGCTGGCCGCACGCAGTCCAACGTACAAGCCACAGCCCGGCTGATCCGGCACTGACTTTAGGTATCTGTCCAGCTCTCTCTTGAAGGCAGCCAGGGGTTTATTGGCAATTCCCCTAATGCTTGATGGGAGGCTGTTGAACAGTCTTGGGCCCCGGACACTTATGGTGTTTTCTCTTAGTGTACCAATGGCGCCCCTACTTTTTATTGGGGGCATTTTGCATCGCCTGCCCAGTCTTTTACTTTCGTAGGGAGTGATTTCTGTGTGCAGATTTGGGACCATTCCTTACTTGCCTATTTGTGGCTATGGGGGTCGGACCACGGCTCCTGACTCAGCTTCTGACGCAACTTGTTTCAGTAACTTTGTGCCTCGTTGGTATTAAGTTTCCTGCCACACACATTGTCTAAGTTGATCCACTTCCTGACCATCCAGAGGCTGAAACAATGCCTCCTAACATCCCTTTGACTCATCTGCGTAAATCAAGTTTGAGATGTACCCTGGTGGTCCTGACCCCAGCCTGACCCCAGACTGACCCCAGCCTCAACCCAGCCTCAACCCAGCCTGACAAACACACACTGTCTGCGCCTCCGAGTTCTCTGCAGAAAAGAATACTTGTATACAGTTCTGGGTATATATGAAAGGTCAGGTCTGGCCACAAATAGCTTGCTTCATCAAGACTAAAGTCACTCGTGGCGAAACGTTTCCTTTAAGAGGCACCTAAGTGTCCCCCGTCTTCTAATAACAGTTTTCCCCTATAATTAACCTCGTCCATAATTACTATCACATTTCCTTTGTCTGTTTCGTAAGGTGAAGTCCAGGATCGTTACTTAATTCATGGTATAATTTAACTAATATTTGATGACCATTGACCCCTGCAACACAGTTGTCCTTAAATATTAGTTAAATTATACCATGAATTAAGTAACGATCCTGGACTTCACCTTACGAAACAGACAAAGGAAATGTGATAGTAATTATGGACGAGGTTAATTATAGGTGAAAACTGTTATTAGAAGACTGGGGACACTTACGTGTTTCTTAATAAGTGTTCCCAACTGTACATTAGTGTTCGTGTTCTCAGTTTGTTGGTATCACAACACCAATTACAAGCATGTGTTCACAGTGTTTTCCTGCCTCTCAGCTTACTGCATGAAGTGAGGTTCGAACCCATGGTAGTAACACTAGCAGACCAGTGTGGTATCCGCTGTGGCTTAATAATCATCATTCTACTAGGTGCATTTCTGTACACCATAGGAAGGTTAGCATGGGCCTCACTCTGACCACAAATACAGGTTTTAACAGATGAATCTCGCACCAGTGTGGCCGTGCTAAGCTTTGGCTCAGGTCCCTTCAAAGACATTATAAATGACTGTCCTAGCTCTAATTTCATTTAAAAAGGTCATGTAGTCTCTCCAGCCTTATATCTTAGGTTCTCTCTCAGCTAAATACTCTTATATACGCTATTAGTCTTAATATTCTTAATATCACTTTCTGTACGCTCATCCATATTTCTAATTTGTAAACTCTGCTCATTTGCAACCCAGAGTTCATAGATCAAGAAATTTTGAATATTTATGAAATAGCGAACGATCAAAAATACCCCAAAAAAAAATTAGTGGCAAAACTTTTAACATTGCCAGAAACACATTTTATAATTCAGAAACAACCAAAAATATGTTGGGTCTATCTTACCATGATAAACATTCTCTACTTAAGAATATTAAAATCAAAATTGTATTTAAAAACCTTGATATAATTAAAAACTAAAAAATCACCCCAAAATGCTGACATTTGTGTTTATAAGATCCCCTGTGGAACATGTGATAAAGTTTATTACGGTCAAACTGGGAAAAGTCTTGAACTAACATAATTACAACATAAACATTAAAACCGGATAAGAAACTAATGCTCTGTTTATTCATGTTAGAGATAGTAATAATAATAATAATAATAATAATAATAATAATTATAATTAAATTTTTATTAGTATTAGTATTAGTATTATTATTAATATTTAGAAATAAAGCCTTAAATTCGAGGGAGGGGAACTATACTAGAGAGAAGAGGGTTGATAACTCACAGTGTAGTTATGGAGGTTTCTAACCACGCAGGTGAGGTAAGCTGTCTGGCCTACGGGGGCGTGGGCGTAGGCGTGCACGCTGGCGTTGACAAATGACGGTCCTACCAGCGTGGAATACTGTACTGATTGACGCTTGTGTGCTGGTACCTGGCTCTTCTCACCTGCTCCCGGTACCTGGCTCCTCTCACCTGCTCCCGGTACCTGGCTCCTCTCACCTGCTCCCGGTACCTGGCTCCTCTCACCTGCTCCCGGTACCTGGCTCCTCTCACCTGCTCCCGACACCTGTTCGTCTCCTGTCAAAAGAGACACACACATAAGTCAGGGACTTGAATTCAGAGTCGACTCACACTTTTATATGAGATGTATAAAAATACATCGAAGCTAAGAAAAATAAAAATATGTTGTTTATATATTTCGACTTCCAACTGAGGTCCTCTTCAGCAGACCAGTTGAAGGTAGACGTACAGCCAAATAAACAACTCGTTGCGAGTTGTTTGTTTGGCTGTATCACTATACATGTTCATCAACGATATCACTATACATGTATGCCAACAGTATTACTATACATGTATACTAATAGTATCACTGTACATGTATACCAAGATTATCACTATACATTTACATAAAAAAAAATACCACATTTTTTCCCAGGATTCTTTCAGTAAATTTACTGGCATTTTCACTCAATCATTTAAGTATTTATGTGGACATTTTGGAGGTGGCAATAAGACCACGAAAGCAATGTACTTGAGACTATTTTGGAGTTACCCTCACCTTTCTTAGAATATACTTGATTACCTCTTTGTTTCTGTGACCCCATCGACGCTCTTAAGGTAACACGTACCTTACACTACAGTGCAGCTACCGAGGTCTTATAAACTGTCGTTGCTGATAGGTCAGGACAGACCATCCGTCATTTATCTACAATAGACACTTCTAACCAACACTGTCGTAGACAGCTAACACTACAAGAGACACTTCTAACCAAAACTGTCGTAGACAGCTAACACTACAAGAGACACTTCTAACCAACACTGTCGTAGACAGCTAACACTACAAGAGACACTTCTAACCAACACTGTCGTAGACAGCTAACACAACAAGAGACACTTCTAACCAAAACTGTCGTAGACAGCTAACACTACAAGAGACACTTCTAACCAACACTGTCGTAGACAGCTAACACTACAAGAGACACCTCTAACCAACACTGTCGTAGACAGCTAACACTACAAGAGACACTTCTAACCAACACTGTCGTAGACAGCTAACACTACAAGTGACACTTCTAACCAACACTGCCGTAGACAGCTAACACTACAAGAGACACTTCTAACCAACACTGCCGTAGACAGCTAACACTACAAGAGACACTTCTAACCAACACTGTCGTAGACAGCTAACACTACAAGAGACACTTCTAACCAGCACTGTCGTAGACAGCTAACACTACAAGAGACACTTCTAACCAACACTGTCGTAGACAGCTAACACTACAAGAGACACTTCTAACCAACACTGCCGTAGACAGCTAACACTACAAGTGACACTTCTAACCAACACTGCCGTAGACAGCTAACACTACAAGAGGCACCTCTAACCAACACTGCCGTAGACAGCTAACACTACAAGAGACACTTCTAACCAACACTGTCGTAGACAGCTAACACTACAAGAGACACTTCTAACCAACACTGCCGTAGACAGCTAACACTACAAGAGACACTTCTAACCAACACTGTCGTAGACAGCTAACACTACAAGAGGCACCTCTAACCAACACTGCCGTAGACAGCTAACGCTACAAGAGACACTTCTAACCAACACTGCCGTAGACAGCTAACACTACAAGTGACACTTCTAACCAACACTGCCGTAGACAGCTAACACTACAAGAGACACTTCTAACCAACACTGTCGTAGACAGCTAAAACTACAAGAGACACTTCTAACCAAAACTGTCGTAGACAGCTAACACTACAAGAGACACTTCTAACCAACACTGTCATAGACAGCTAACACTACAAGAGACACTTCTAACCAACACTGTCATAGACAGCTAAAACTACAAGAGACACTTCTAACCAAAACTGTCGTAGACAGCTAACACTACAAGAGACACTTCTAACCAACACTGTCGTAGACAGCTAACACTACAAGAGACACTTCTAACCAACACTGTCATAGACAGCTAAAACTACAAGAGACACTTCTAACCAAAACTGTCGTAGACAGCTAAAACTACAAGAGACACTTCTAACCAACACTGTCGTAGACAGCTAACACTACAAGAGACACTTCTAACCAACACTGTCGTAGACAGCTAACACTACAAGAGGTACCTTTAACCAACACTGCCGTAGACAGCTAACACTACAAGAGACACTTCTAACCAACACTGTCGTAGACAGCTAACACTACAAGAGGTACCTTTAACCAACACTGCCGTAGACAGCTAACACTACAAGTGACACTTCTAACCAACACTGTCGTAGACAGATAACACTACAAGTGACACTTCTAACCAACACTGTCGTAGACAGAACTAACATTATCAATCATCACTCTTGTACAAGAATTAAAGGCCTGGGAGTCGCTGTCTCACAACTGTCTTACGACAGTCGCAAATATATTTAATAATACGTGCCTGACTGTTCAGTTTACTGTCGTAACTCCGAGTCAGGAAATACTGATGGTGTTAAACTTTATAATCAACTCCCTAACTGTTATAGCTGAAGATTTCATCTCCCTTCACCGTCACTGGTGACGCCCCAGAACAAATCGTAGAGGAAAAATTAAAGATTTAATTCTCTTCGTTACAACGGAAGTGAAATGGTGCAGATGATCGGACTGGGAATATTTCAGCTTTGTATTTATCTTCGTCTTCTCCGAATGTGACATCTTCTGTTACTCGGGGCGTCTGTGATGACGTCTTAGTGTCAGCTTCCAGACGTGTGTTTCTTAATACATTACCTGTTCCTAGTCCTGTCAACATTTGTAGCATCAAGAATGGAGGAGGTGGGTTATTCTTAAGGCTTTGTCAAGTTTCTGGTGAGCGAAACGTTGACACAATTAAATGTCACATTAGTTGCGTCATAATTAGTTTCTTTCTCATATCTGCGAGTGATGATGTGATGATGTGATCTAGACACACCAGTCAGCCAGGTGTGACCCAGACACACCAGTCAGTCAGGTGTGACCCAGACACACCAGTCAGTCAGGTGTGACCCAAACACACCAGTCAGTCAGGTGTGACCCAAACACACCAGTCAGCCAGGTGCGATCCAGACACACCAGTCAGCCAGGTGTGACCCAGACACACCAATCAGCCAGGTGTGACCCAGACACACCAGTCAGCCAGGTGTGACCCAGACACACCAGTCAGCCAGGTGTGACCCAGACATACCAGTCAGCCAGGTGTGACCCAGACACACCAGTCAGCCAGGTGTGATCCAGACACACCAGTCAGCCAGGTGTGACCCAGACACACCAATCAGCCAGGTGTGACCCAGACACACCAGTCAGCCAGGTGTGACCCAGACACACCAGTCAGCCAGGTGTGACCCAGACACACCAGTCAGCCAGGTGTGACCCAGACACACCAGTCAGCCAGGTGTGATCCAGACACACCAGTCAGCCAGGTGTGATCCAGACACACCAGTCAGCCAGGTGCGATCCAGACACACCAGTCAGCCAGGTGTGACGCAGACACACCAGTCAGCCAGGTGTGACCCAGACACACCAGTCAGCCAGGTGTGATCCAGACACACCAGTCAGCCAGGTGTGACCCAGACACACCAGTCAGCCAGGTGTGACCCAGACACACCAGTCAGCCAGGTGTGACCCAAACACACCAGTCAGCCAGGTGTGACCCAGACACACCAGTCAGCCAGGTGTGACCCAGACACACCAGTCAGTCAGGTGTGACCCAAACACACTAGTCAGCCAGGTGTGACCCAGACACACCAGTCAGCCAGGTGTGACCCAGACACACCAGTCAGCCAGGTGCGATCCAGACACACCAGTCAGCCAGGTGTGACGCAGACACACCAGTCAGCCAGGTGTGACCCAGACACACCAGTCAGCCAGGTGTGATCCAGACACACCAGTCAGCCAGGTGTGACCCAGACACACCAGTCAGCCAGGTGTGATCCAGACACACCAGTCAGCCAGGTGTGACCCAAACACACCAGTCAGCCAGGTGTGACCCAGACACACCAGTCAGCCAGGTGTGACCCAGACACACCAGTCAGTCAGGTGTGACCCAAACACACTAGTCAGCCAGGTGTGACCCAGACACACCAGTCAGCCAGGTGTGACCCAGACACACCAGTCAGCCAGGTGTGACCCAGACACACCAGTCAGCCAGGTGTGACCCAGACACACCAGTCAGCCAGGTGTGACCCAGACACACCAGTCAGCCAGGTGTGACCCAGACACACCAGTCAGCCAGGTGTGACCCAGACACACCAGTCAGCCAGGTGTGACCCAGACACACCAGTCAGTCAGGTGTGACCCAGACACACCAGTCAGCCAGGTGTGACCCAGACACACCAGTCAGCCAGGTATGATCCACTGTGAACTGCATCACCAAGTACCGAACTCAGTACCCCATACCCTCCCTCACACTTAACAAAAATACAGTAAACATACCGGTGATCATGACCAGTACCATCGCTAGGAATTTTGCATTTAAGATTATCTCAACTATCGCCCACCTTTCTTACCACACAAAGCTGAGGCCGAGTTCATGCCCACAGACTTTGCCACAGAAGGGAAGAACACCATTAATCTGTTTTTCTTATATATATGACCTTAGTCTTGCCTTAAAACCATTAAAGGTAAAAGTCTGGGTGCTTTTAAGGTAACGTAAGACTTACTACACCATCTTAATCAGTCGAGTGTGATGAAATTGCTTGCATTGTGCAACTATTTATGAATGTGTTGCAAGTTAACAAACTCTTTGTGCTACGCGCACGTTGTACAGTCTTAAACAGTCTGGAAGAATAATGGATTCCTCCCTTTTCCATCTATCGCAGGATTAACGTAAATAGACATCTCTCTGGATATATACACTGAGATATACACCATTGGGTGTGTTAGGTAAGACACATATGCAACAGTTTTATTTCGAAACGTTTCGCCTACACAGTAGGCTTCTTCAGTCGAGTACAGAAAAGTTGATAGAAGCAGAAGTGACTTTAAGACGATGTAATCAGTCCATCACCCTTAAAGTTTTGAGGTGGTCAGTCCCTCAGTCTGTAGAAGAGCATTTTTCCAAAGTTTGGAACAATGCTCTTCTCCAGACTGAGGGACTGACCACCTCAAAACTTTAAGGGTGATGGACTGATTACATCGTCTTCAAGTCACTTCTGCTTCTATCAACTTTTCTGTACTCGACTGAAGAAGCCTACTGTGTAGGCGAAACGTTTCGAAATAAAGATACCTAACTGTTGCATATGTGTCTTACCTAACAATCTGTCGGTATTTTATACCATTTTAATGTTCACCATTGGGTGTATATCTCTGAGAAATACACACATTTCATTGTGAGTATGCAGATACACACGTCTCAGTGTTTATACACTATCAACAAGTGTTAGTGTTATCATGGAAAATTGAGTATATTAGCGAGATCCTTCCAGCAATGGAAAATTTAAAACAACTTGCCAAATCCCCCAACGTTGGACAAACTTAAGAACAATTTGAACCTTTCCAGCTGAAAGCTACGATTTCGACAAGGAATACCACGACGCACAATGTGAGTATTTAAGGTTCTCTGTGGGGGAATATTTTTGAGTATCATTGATCATATCTGAA